TAAATATTTTATTAGCAATTGTTATGTGGATTGGGCAATTGTTGATCTTAGTTCTCCATATTAGGAGATGACGTGGGCCATGATCTTTAATTATCTGGTATTCTGATACTTTAATTGTGATTAATAAATGACTCTACTCCGCTAGTGCCGTCACCCAGTAACCGGGAGTTTTCACCACAAGTGTCGACTTTCGCGTCAAAAAGTGGCGATATCTATGAGTAGTTAGTCCTGAAGCTGTGAAAAGTTGAGTAACTGGGCTCTTTCATCTAAAAATGTCAGAGTTCACGTCAAAAGACTTGAATAGCTTGGGACTGAGCATTTTTGAAAAAAAAAAATTAATTGTTAAAAAAAAAAAAAAGAGAGAGAGAATAAAATAATGTGTAAACTTATGATCATATTGGCCTGCCGATCCTTGTTCTTCAATGTTGAGATTTTGATTTTCAGTTGACCCAATTGCTAACTTTTGCTAGTTTAATATTTTAATTTCTTAGACGAGTTAGCCATGAATTGGACGAGTCTATGATTTCAGGAGCTAATCGGGAGAAATATGTCTTGACACTTAGCCACTAAAACTTGATTTTGGGATAAGCATAGCTTGGCAGTAAATGAAATGAGAGTTAGCCATTGTTGAATTTAGTTGTTCCCATGCTTGAGGACAAGCATGATTTAAGTGTGGGGGGAATTGATAGGATGTTAATTGTTAGTAATTTTATTGTTAATTCTCCTCTTTATCCTTGCCAAATATTGCTTTAATTGTCAATATATATTTATATTTGGTATTTGGATATAATTTCAGAAAGTGGAGCAGAAAAGTGCTAAAAGGGAACCTTCTTGAGAAGATCTCTCCACACGTGAAAGCTTCTAAAAGCTTTCCACAATCAGCCCAAATTGTGCAAACCAACGGAATTGCTGATGAAGAGTTGCCTTCCTATTATTAAGTCCTGACAAGTCCACTAGCAATAAGAAGTCAAAAGGAGAGAATTCTGCAGGGACCACGTAACATTGATTTAGAAAATGTGTTCTTCTTTTGGGAGATGTACTCATTAGCCATAGGTGGACTTTGATGATGAAAGTAGCTTTTCTATTTGCTTCCTACGTAACTAGTTCTCATATAAAACTAGTGCAGAGGAGAATGAGAGAGGGCCGGACATTTTTTACAGAATCAGTTTTTCTTCTTCTCTTCCGTTTGGGAAGAGAAGTTTTTAGTTTTGGGGTGAAGATTTCTCGTGTGTCTTGTTTTCTTCCGTCTCTTCCATGAGACTAATTTTTATTGTATTAGACTACAGAGAATACAATTCTTATTTTTAATTATTAGTAAGAGATAAATGTCTTTGAGTTCAATTAAATTGCGTGGGAATTTTCTTATGAGGCGTGGCTAATCTTCTCCTCTAGTCAAGGATCAACGCGAAGACGCAGTCCCAAATATCTGTGAGATCTAATTAATTTTACGTGTTCCTTAATTTGTTAATATTTGCATGTTTTCTATTTTAATTTCTATGGGATTATTTTGTTAATTGGATATCAAGGGCCCGATGTGCAATTTGACTTATTAATCTCTTGTCAAATTAATCAATTAAATCCGTAATTGTTTAGTTGGTTAATATTAGTGACAACTAGTATTTTCACATACTAGGAGAACATGCAATCTGATTTAAATAACCCTCGTAGCGTGTTATTAATTTGGGTTAGGCTTTTCTAGTTTTTAATGCAATTAGGAAATTAATTCCTACGGTCGTACCTAGGAGTATTTCCTAGTTAGAGGTAATCAACGGTCGTACCTTGGTTATCAATAAATTAAGGAAAAGTTGGTCGTTAGAGCTTATCGGCGACTATAACTAGCCTATTAATTAAATTAAGTGAACCTTCTTTGCATCAATGATCGGATGAATGGACTGTGTCTGCGTAGTTGTATCCTTGGCTAGAATTTATTTATCATTTATTTAATTGCTATTTACAATTGTATTAATTAATTATTTATTTTTGGTTAATTATTTTTAGTTAAATTGTTTAATTATTTATTTTTAGTTTTATCTGATAAAAATCCCCCGTGTCTCGAATTTAAAAAGAATCAAATTTTTTCCAGTCCCTGTGGATTCGACCCTGCTTACTACTATACACAGAAAATTTATTTTTCTTAAGCAGGTATTTATTATTGCACAGGCACGACTCCTGTCAAGTCGCAATTTAAATTTGTCAAAATGAACAAACATAGTTGAATATTAGAGTTTTGGCTTGTTAGATTCAGTCCACCCCTAATTTATTTCTTTGTACCGGGCCGTATTTCAATGTTCGACCTATGCAACTTAGATCCTGTATTCAGGTTCAACACAGAATATTAAGAGTACCGCGTTTAGTTTGAACATGGAGGTGTCCAAGTAGCTCTGGATATACCTTCTAATGACAAGTTTAAGCACTTTTCAATTCTCATAAACCATTTACCTTCTTATTATCCATTCTTTATTTTCAATAATTTACGGATTTTTTGTTTTAATTTACGATTCTAAGCTTAATCTCCTACTTATCACTCTTTAATCTAATCCTATTTCCTCTCTAATTAATCACAATTGCCTATGCTAAAATTTTGTGCTCTTCTTTGAACATGACCTACAGGGCTGTGCATCATTTTGCTGATCCCACTGAATTGAAAGCCTCCATCACATGACAGTATATATGACCTTTTAGTGACATGAGTACGGGAATGATTGAGCAATGTTACTGCTATCATGTACTCCTCTTAAAGTGTTCCATTTTAGAATGTTTCAAAATATTTGTTACGTTGAGAAAGTTAAAACATATTTTAGTCTTTCCTTTTAATATAGTCCCTCCCTTTAATCATATGCATATTGGAATAACTTCAGAAATCTCTCCTAAGATTTCTAAGAATTTCACTAGCCTCCTATGTGGTTTGTTAAATTACATGAACCTCCCTCGATCGAGTCTAAAGTCTTGACAACAAAATTAGTCCAAGTCAGGAAAAAAAAACATTTAAAAAGTATTTTAAGATGAGAGATGAAACTTTTATTTTATAAATATCTATGAAACTTTTATTTCATAAATATCCCTTAAACATGTATATAAGTTGTGCTAATAAAAGAATGAAAATAATTAAAAGTTACAAATAATCAACACGCACATTTCACTATTCAAAAAGTTCACATTTAATACATTAGACAACACAAATAAGCAACAAAACTATACTAATGATCACAAGATTTAGCAAAATAGACCACTCATCGTCCTTAACATGAGGTTTGTTATGATTCTTATAATTTTGAACAGAAAATAACTTTGAATTTTGCCTTTCTTTTCCCTCCTTTATCATTTGTTTCCACGAAATTATTTTACAACTATCACAACTTTAAGAGTTTCAAAGAAAATTTCCTCATTAACAACCTTCTTTTGCCCTATGTTTTTTTTGTTCTACCAAAGCCTTTCTTCTCATAGTGTATACAACTTATTTCTAGTCATTGTCAAGTTTTATCAATCATAAGATAGTGCCATTTGATATATCAATTGACATTATTTTGTAATTGCAAGTAATCGTTCATCATTAAAGAAATTTCCAACAGTTATTTCCATTAGTTGGTTATTAATAGTTAATTAGTGCTCTAATTACTCAATCATTAGATATTAGTTTCTAATTTGGCATAATGCCTTAGGGTCTATGAGTAGTTTCTCTCCATGTGATATAAGTAACTAGGCTCACAATTCTGTCAAGGGAGATAAGTGTAATTTTACAAATTTCAAGGGAGGCCAGTGAAATCGTGAGAAACCTATGCATATCACTATTCAAATTCAAATCACTTTTTTTACAAAATTGGATAGCTGAAACATGATAAAATAATTGGGATGGAGGGAGTAATCTTGAAAAGTATCATGGGATCATTTTGGACTATTATAAGATTAAAAAATATTTAAAAGATAAGGTCAGATATTCCTTTTTGATATTGAATTTAATTTATCATGTGTAAGAGTTGTTAGACTGAAACTTAAAGCTTTAACTTGCCTATCAGCTTCATCTTCTTCTCATAGTTTTTCTTTTCAATTCCCAAGTCGGAGATCCATTGGCTATCCTTGTTGATAAAAATATAATTTTATTGGAATATCTACACTAGTATTAAAAAAAACGTAAAACATGAAACAAATATATACGTATCTAAAAATTAATTAATATAATATATTTTTCTCTTTTAACTTGTATAGCATTAAAGGGGACAATAGACCAATTAAAACTGGGTATTCTTCAAACAAAAGAGGAATTAGACCAATTAAAACCAGATATTCTGAAGTACCGAATTGTCACATACCAAATGTTGTTTATTTTCAGAAGTAGATTCCTTGAGGATTGTTGGATAGCTCTACAATGAGTAAGATTATATATGCATTATTTAGCGCTTGTTGAACTTTCCACTTCAGATGAATCCAAAACAAAACATGCATGTACCTTAATTCCAATTGGATTTCAGGGCACTAGCTAGTATTATTGGTTGTCATAGCAATCCAATAAGAGAATAATGTATGCTTGGTAAAAATTCTAGACTGAATACAAGATAAAAGAAGTTGTGCATCCATTTTAAACATCAAAGTAAGATCTCAGTTGATAGGGATAGAAACTGGTATAGAAGGTTTGGTGCACAATTGTTGTGCTAGAATTTGATGTAAATTTATAGATCAAGGTGTATTTATACATTGAATTGATATACATGCATAAAATTTAAGATCTCAGTACAATTGTACAAAGGTGCTATTTGTACCCACGCTTTGTCCAGAATGAAGTACTGTGGATACTCCTCCCAAGCGTCAACACAAACATCACAATTCACTGCCTTGGCCCTACATAATTTAATTCTAACAACGACCATTGTACCATATCTATAATCAGAGATTCAGAGCATCACATACTTGTAACTCAGCATACCAATCCTTCTTGAACCTACAAACAACTTCTCTCTTCGAATGCACTGAAAAACCAAGTATCTCCAAGTCAAAAGACTCCATCAATGGAGAATTGCCATTTTCTTGTTGTAACATTTCCTGCGCAAGGCCATATCAATCGCACCCTCCAATTTGCAAAACGCCTGGCAAAATTGGGTGTTAAGACAACATTTTCAACCAGTCTTGGAGCAATCAAGCGCATGAATAATACCTCAGATTCCTTACCAGAAAAATTAAGTATTGTTCCTTTCTCTGATGGTTATGACCATGGCTGGACGGGTAACGATGATTTTATAGAATATATGACGTCTCAAAAAAGTCATGGCTCTCAAACCCTGAAAGAACTCATCGCGGCTCAGAGCAATAAGGGACAAGCAATCACTCATGTGGTCTACACCACACTCTTATCCTGGGTAGGTCAACTTTCTCATCAGCTTCAGATTCCATCAACTCTTCTTTGGATTCAGGCAGCAGCCCTTTTTGATATCTACTATTGTTTCTCCAATGGCTGTGGAGAAACTATTAGAGATAGTGCTAGCAGTAAAACAATTCATTTACCTGGATTGCCAACTCTAGCTAGCAGAGATCTCCCTTCATTTTTGCTGGCTTCAAATCCTGGCATTTACAGTTTTGCTTTGCCCACGATCTACAAACATTTTGAGATACTGGAAAAAGAAGAAACACCAAAAGTTCTTGTAAATAAGTTCGATGCTTTGGAACCTGAGACTCTTAAGGCTGTTGAGAAGTTGAAGCTGATGGCTGTTGGACCTCTGAATTTGAATCCAGGTAAAGTGATCTCAAAGAAGTAATGTTCCCCAAGCATTCAGGAATCGACCCTGAAAATTGATTTTGGCTTAAAATTAGGTAAGCCAAGCTCTGTAAAGATCAGAGCTTATCTGACAGGATATGGCTTAATTTGTTGCTGTTGGCATACAATCCTTGAAGCTTTTGCAACTGACTAATAGCATCAGGAATTGAACCAATCAACCCGATTATTGTCTATATATAATGATGTCAAACCACATAGGTTTCCAATTCCATTTGGTATGATGCCTTTGATATAACAACTTGATACCGAGGACATTTCCAGGGAACTAGAAAGATTTTGAATAGAATCAGGCAAATAGCCAATCAGCGACGGATTATAGCTTACTTCATTTACCTTCAAGTTCTTGCAATTTGCCAGACAGGTGATAAAGCTCAGTTCTGGAGGTGAAGGTTCACTTGTTAAATTGTTAATATGAAGGCCCAAATATCGAAGAAAGCTTAAATTCCCAAGGGAGCAAGGAATAGATCCTCTGAATTGGTTTGATGATAGTTCAAGGAATTTAAGTTGAAAACAATTGGAGATTGAGTTTGGTATAACTCCACCTAAGTTATTCATGGACAGAACAAGTTCTGTTAAACTGGAAAGACCAAAATCCATACTTTGTGGAAGATTTCCAGAATGTTGATTGGCTGCAAAAAAAAGGGATATCAGCCTGGAGAGATTGAATATCCCTGCTGGTATTGAACCGCTTAAACTATTGTTTTTGATCTGAAGGATTTCAAGGTTGTATAGATTGCCAAGCTCTTGAGGTATTAATCCTGTAAAAATGCAATTTGTTACCAGAGAAGGGAAGAGATTGGGAGTGCAGAACCATAAATACGTAGGCCTTCATATCAAAACGAGACATACAGAACCTAAGATGCTCATAGTTTTTGTAAAACATTTCTGTCTTTTAGAGATTCTTTTAGAAATGAATCAGGAAAGATAGAAATAGATGAAAATTTTTGGATGGTTAGGATCACACTGGTATGAACATAAGGATATATAAACTGATTCTCATCTGTTGATGCTTGGATTGCATGTTTACCTATAAGATCATTATATGAAGCTGATAGTGACACAAGCATGGTTAAGTTACCAATCTCTCCTGGAATTTTGCCTGCAAAACATGAAATAAACTACATGAAGTTGAGGTTCAGAATGAACTATTAATGCAACTTTTATGGCTTGGGGTTGCATCTTCACCTGTTAGATTATTCCCTGAAAGCCCTAGTTCATTAAGCATGGTTAATTTACCAATCTCTCCTGGAATTGTGCCTGAAAAACACGGACGAAACTACATGAAGTTTAGGCTAAACTGCTAATTGCATAAACAATTACAGGGGAGATTTAACATAAACAAGAAGATCATCGAGGACAAAGGAAGAAACGGAATGTTTACACCTTGATATGAAGAATTATTAGGGACCCATCAACACAATCGACTTTTGATATGAACAAGAAAATCATAATAGAAAAGGAAGAAAGTATACAGGTATTTGACTCTGCATCGCATTACTTGTGCAATTTGAGAGACTTTTCTAGTCTAAGTAACTTTTAAGCAAAAAAGTTAAACGTGATATTTTAACAAACCTCAGCTGAGGTATCTTAAAATGACACCTAATTCTCCTCAAATTTGAATACATACATTTACCTCAATTTTACTATGTTTAACAGTGGTTAGATACCGGGTGAAAGAGTCTAAATGAGAAGTTCTGAATTTGAAACATCTCACTTACACTAAAAATATATATATTAAAAGAAGAAACAGTAGCTATGATTGTTGAATAATTGAAATACGATTTAGCTGGAAGGTTTTACATGAAATTATGGGAATACCTCATCAAGAAACCTACATTTTCCCTTCCTCATCCTAAGGCATCGTATGGGTTAAAGGAAATTGAAGGACTTTAGAATAACACATAGGATAAGAGGGCAGAGGCACGGATTAAGTCTATTGCACCACTTGTATTTTGACACTTTCTCGACCACTAAATCAGGAAGTTTTACTTATTAGTACTCACTAAACATTCATTAGATAAACCCTATCTAAATTAAAGGGAGTGAATATGCCTAGTTTCTTAACCAGTTGAAGGATTTTTATGATCTTATAGATGACGGAAGGAGAAGAATAGGGGTGGAAAGTTGGGGGAAAAATTTTTGATTGATTAAGACAGAAAATACTAGGACACATTAATATGCAATCTCCCATCTGCACAGGACTAGTGGTGATAAGTAGGTGAAAAAACATTAAAACGGCTTGACTTGACAATTCAATCGATCAATCTAATAAACCAACCACTTCGCTGATTCAGATTTCCAATTTGATTGAATAGAAAGAAACCTATTGAAAAGTCAAAAAATTATCGGTTCAATCCGTAAAAAACAAATAACCGGGTCAGTTCAATTTAGTGTGACCCGACAATCTTCAAAAGATTCCCATTTTTCCATTGATGAGGTTCCGGTAGGCAACCTCTAGCTTTGTTCGTATGCTAGAGCTTACAAAGTAATTAGCAGCTCTTGGTCCACAATATTATTTTAGATTATTCATCTATTTTATAGTAAATAAAATTATTCAAACATACTAGTTATCATACCGTAGAACCCACCAATTCAACCAGTCGACCAATAATTAAACTAATAATTAAACTGCAAACTCATTGAACCAGTCCGCTTGCTAGGTTGGTGGTCAAGTTGTGTTTAATAACTATCCTGCAAAATAACTATAGCAAATATGGCAAATTTTTGGACAAATACGTTGTGGTCTTTAAATGCCCTAATCATCATTGTAATTTCAAATGATGTTAACAATTTGAGGTAGAGTAATATTATATAGTGTCACAGTGATTATCTTAAAACTTGAATAGCCAAAAGGTCTAGAGTTGAAGCTGCCTACCAAGTTCACCTAAAAAGTTTGTAATAAAATATTTAGTTTGTTCGGTTATCAATGTTTGCAACCAAAAAAAAAATCAAATTTTATTATACTTACATCATAAGCATAAATTTCAATCATTTTTTTTTTAAATTTCATATACATCATATCATAAAAAATACTAAGATATTATTTTAGATATTTTTTTTTCCCAATTAATCTCCTATCCAAGCTGATGTATAGATATTTATCATCCATAAATTTACAAAAAAAAAAAAAAAAAATGGGGTGGGGTGAATTAGATTTACTCGATCCAGAACATTCATTAAAATTTTGACATGGACATTCTAGATCAAGGCAATGTCATTCAACCAGAGCCGGCTACAGACCACACCATGAAATTGCTTCTGCAAACTGCAGACAACCCCGATCCCCTCCCTAGAGGCAAGAAACAATAGCGTACCATCTAAATTGTTAGAACCAAGATAAAGAAGCTGAGTTCCGTCAAGTTCCCAATTTCATTTGGTATGATCCCAGTGAAATTGTTGTATGACAAGGATAGCGATTGAAGTGCCGAGCATTGAGACAACGTTGATAGTATTTCACCGTTGAACTTGTTCTCCGATAGGTTAAGCCAGAAGAGTTTCTGGAGTCTGCGACACATATCACTAGGAAGACTACCGGATAGATGGTTGGCTCGTAATGCAATTATTTCAAGGGAGGAGATATTGAAGATCTCAGATGGTAGAGAACCTGAAAGCTGGTTACGTTGGCAGATCAATTTCTTCAGATTGTGAAGCTTTCCAATCTCTTTTGGAATAGTCCCTTCTAGATTATTGAATGACAACTGCAACTGCTGTAGAGTTGATATATTAGAAAATATTGAGGGTGGAATAGAACCGAGAAAACTATTGTTTGCAAGGTTCAGGTATTGGAGTTTCGGGAAAGAATACCCCAACCATGATGGAATCTCTCCACTGAAGTCATTGATTCCTAGATTAAGGAATCTTAATCGGCGTAAATGTGCTAATTCATGGGGTAGTTGGCCATGGAAATCGTTTCCACCCAGGTCGAGAGAAACCAAGAAAGATAGATTCCCAAGGGTTGGAGGTATCATCCCTGTAAAACCCATGTTTGAAATATTCAGAGAAGTGACTCTTTGTCGACGAGCACCACAAGTGACTCCTGTCCATTGACATACAGGAAATGCCACAGACCAGTTTTTGGCTAAGGGATCTGAAGTGATTAGAGGTTTCAATGAAAGAAGAGCAGATTGATCAGTTGTGATATTGGGTGGGGTAGTCAAGGCAAAGCAAGCCTGGAGAAAATGAATAAGCAAACATGGAAAGTAACAATTCAAATATTTCATCATGAACATCTGCAAATGCAGGTTGAAGCTCACGTTGGCAAACACTCAGCAGATTGCAATAAAAATTTTACAGGTGTAAATTCACTGGTTGGGGTGGGGTTCCCTGCAGAAAATGGTCAATAATAATTGCTTCATAAAGTATGTGAATTAATATAGCAGGTCCAGATGCTAGACAACAAATGCTAACACTCACTCCGTCCTACTGAATGTATCATACTTTTCTTTTTTGGCTGTTCCAAAATATTTATCATATTTGCCATTTTAACTAGTTTATACTCTGAAATTTCCCTTATACTCTTCATTAATGATGCATAAAGACAAATGTAATGAGATTGCTCTCTACTTTTTACTTTGATCAGCACATGATTAAGGGCAAAAGTGAAACTAAGGAAATTTTTTTTTGTGAAGTGTACTATAGATAAAAAGCACATATCCCCAAACATGACTAAATATATGGGATGGAGGGAGTACTAAAATATTATCACAGAGAAAAAAGAAACTATACTAGTGTCAAGTTATTGGCATTTGATGCCAATTTATTGAAATTTAGAGTATAAACTAAGAAAGAACACCAGCACTTTATATTAAAAAAGGGGCTTATAATAAAATCTTGTATAGAAGAGATGAAAAATTTTTTAATTCTTCGTTCACGAACTCTCTATTTATAGAGTATACAAGAAGCAAACTAATATAATCTTTGCCAATATATCTCTTAACAAATCTCAACAATAGATATTAGTAACTTCAAATACATAAACTAGCGCGCATTGAAAGTTATAATTATTTGTGTTATTATCTAAACGTCCATAAACTTTGTTGTTTTAGCCTCTACGATCATTGTTATAATATATATAGCGTATGGTTTGATTGCAAACCTCAAATAAATACTTAAAATTGTGGTCAACAAGTGGTATTAAAAATTCTTTGGCCATTCCCAATGCGATGTGTCATACTCTTTCTTTTCACATGGAGATGTGGTGGCATTATCCTGCATCTGAATCGAATCTTATCATTAGAGTAATTTCTAGACGAATGTAAGTGGAAACCAAATAAAATACTATGCACCATTGATTATTTTCAGTTAGTGTTTGGGCACAAAAACACATTGCAATTGTTTTCAAAGTCCAGTCACAGACTCGAAAAATCAAAAGGCAACCTGCATTTTGCAAGTCTTCTTTTAGTGTTAAAAGCCATAGGCCGGCCATAATTGGAAAGTTTCATTTACCTCAGGGATCCTCCTAGGACCCTCGGACCATTTCGACTAGTTATCTGCAATGATCTCAGCTACATAACTTTGTTTAGTACAACCCAGTGCTTTAAAATTTTTTAGAAAGACAGTGAAGCGCAACTTAATTGGTAAGGCGTTTCATCTGTAACCAACAGGTCACGGATTCGAGTTGTCGATGAATTAAGTGAAGAATCACTGTTGATCCTATTTAATCAAAAAATAAATAAATAAATTTTCAGGAGAAACTTAGACAATATACCCAAAGGATGCACCCAAAATATCCAAAAGAGAGTTTTTAATATATTTTTTTGGAGCACCAAGCTTCTAATGCCAAGCCCTCCTGCTTTAATTAAAGGGTATACATGTTACATACTTCCATGAAACTCTGGCAGGAAGCTTACTTGCCTCTTTGACCAGTTAAAAAAGATGAGGACGGCAAGCTTTCAGTCTTCTTCAATAGACAGCTTTAAGTAAGATGAAAAAACTAGTCTAACAAAGTTGAATGCTAGATAGCATGGATTTAGCTAATTGTAGTCGAACTCCATAGCTGAATCTTCACTGTTGAAAGTGATTTTGTCCGCCAAGCACTGATAATCCTTTGTTGAGAAGAGTTGAGAGATCCCATATTGGTTTGAAGGAACCAGGATTGGTACATATGTTCTGGTCCATTGGGCTATCAGTGACTTGGAATTTTTTTCTTGGTAATAATGACAGTTTAATTAACGACATTACTTAGGTTACTTTCTATCAATTAATAACTTGGAACTCGTGGATGCT